ATTTCCCTCTGGATTTGAAAAGATACTTTTTGATATTTTAAATTCCTATATATACATGGATCTGTTTCTAGTCTCCACTGTCTGTAGTAAGTTGCATCACATTGTTCTGATTCATGTAGCTTTGTAGAATATTTGATTTCTGAAAGGGCATATTCCTCCTTATTACTACTCATTTTAAACAATTTTTAGGCTATTCTTAACATATTTACTTCTATTTGAACTTTTGAACTGGAATTTTGACTGGAATTACATTAAATGTATACTTTAATTTTTGAAAGAACTGAATATCCTAAAACTTCATTTTCTATTCTCATGATATTGGAACTTGTAAATTCACCAAACCTAACTCCTACTCAACCTTGAGGTCTCAGTTTAGACTTCGCTTTCTCCAGGAAACCTTTCTTAATATACCTCCTCCCACTACCCCAATCGATAGCACTCTGTTTTTATCCTCAGCAAAGCACTTACCTTGTTATACTGTAAAGGCTTTTTGATTTAGATATCTCCCACTAGATTCTAAGTTCCTTGACAGGAAGGATAATACACTAGTTATCACTGCTTTCACAATAATAAGTTCAGAGCCTGACTCACAGTCATTCAGTAAATACCTGTCTTTCCTTTACAGTCTGTGTTTAGAAACTATGATCATGACCATGATGGGTACATCTCCCAAGAGGACTTTGAAAGTATAGCTGCCAATTTTCCCTTCTTGGATTCCTTCTGTGTGCTGGACAAAGATCAGTAAGTTTTAATTTTGTTATATTTTAATGCAACTGTCCCAAAGCAGAAAATTATTATTGGAAGAGAGCAGCAAAACCTGTAATTTACATCTTAATAGCTTCAACTCTATTGCTTTGATGAAATGAATCTAACTTTTTGCTGATTTTCTTCTTGGTGTCTGTGAACATGTCCGGTTGGGATGGAATCACAGGGCAGACCACATCATCAGGATTGAACACAAGTGTCTGTAAATTAACCTGGCTCTCCGTTTCTTACGTTACTCTTATTGCTTACTATTAACCCCAGAAAACTTCCATCAAAGAAGAGTAGAGGAGAAATAAAGATAGATCTAGCCTGGGAGAGTCCTCAGCATTAGAGGACCTGAGTGTAATCTTAAAATTCATTGAGTGAGTAAGATCTTTTTAGATTATTTATGGTATTCATGAAAGCAGATGATAGCTGCAGATAGCCAAGAAACATCTACACTTTGTTTTTCTTTGATCGCAAGTTGTCTTAATAAATGAAGAAAAAATATATTTCTCTTTAGGGTCAAATGATTCCTGAAATATTAAATGGTTTTAGAGCCTAAACCACATTCATTTAGAAAAAAAAGTGATTAAAAAATTCCTGAGAAAGCCCAAAAATTTGATTAATTTTTAATTAGTTCCTAATTTAAAAGTCATCTGTAAAAAATTGCTGAATTTGAAACTGGTGAAATGTCCAAATTAAATCACACTAAAATCTAATATTTTTGTTGATATGAGAATTTTTCAAAAATGTAGTCTGTGATTTAACACACTAAGAAAAGCCTTGATACTTTAACATAAATATCTGAAAAAAATCTTAAATCTGTCTTCATTATATGCCCAGAACAAAGAACGCTTTAAAAATAAACTACATTATCAGAAATATAAACTTCCTGGGCCGGCCCGGTGGCGCACTGGAGAGTGCGCCACTTGGGAGTGCGGCGGCGCTCCTGCCGAGGGTTCGGATCCCATGTGGAGACCGGTTCCCGCTCACTGGCTGAGCGCAGTGCGGGCGCAACACCGAGGGTTGGGATCCCGTTACCGGTCAGTAAAAAAGACAAAAAGGAATTAAAAAAAAAAAAAAGAAAGAAATATAAACTTCCTTTACAAAGTAAAATTTAAGTTACTTGCTAACTTTCCACTTCTCCCCTATCAGTGACATGTAAATGGGACATGGACTTAAAATCACTTTTCAGTCTTCATTTCTTTTCTTTCGTGGTTCTTTAGGAGTGAGATTGTCCCAGCACATATCTATCTGCATTTGTATTTGTATGTGTGCGTGTATCTCTATCTCTATGTCATCTGTGTCTCTATATATCTATAATCTCCTACTCTATATATCCTTCTCCATGAATATACTCCCGCCAGGAAACCAGGCTCCTTATTTGTGTTTATGATTAAATTCAGGTGTCATGAGATAATTTGCTCTTCTTAAGATGGGCAAGACCCTAGATGACTCTTTAATTTTTATAAATTTTAAGTATTATTAAAGTTATTTTCCATAAGAGGTGAGAAAGGGGTCTCCTGCCGGGGGTCACCAAGCCTGGGGGAAAATTCTGGCATTGCTAACAGCAATAGGGAAGCCTTGGGCAGGAGGTATTGGCAAGAGAGATCTGGAGTTGGGCTTAGATATGTTGATTTTGAGAAGAGAGTGGACCATCCAGGAGCAGATGTTTAGCAAGTTCTTGAAGATGTGGTACCAAAACTCAGAACAGTCAGGGGTGGAGAGGTAGATTAAGTGTTCAGCCCAGTGGTAAACTGGAGTCTTGAGCGTGCGAGCAAACCCTGACGGGCAAGTTTAGAGGGAGGTTAGGACGGAGCCTGAGAAAGGAGTGGGGCTCCCCTCCCTACACGTAGAAGCTGAAAGGAATAAGAGGATCCTGCAGAAGAGCCAGAGAAGGGGGCGCAAGAAAGGAAGGAGGAAAATCAAAGCTGCATGAAAGTACAGGGGTTCAGAGAGGAGAGAGTATCAAAAAGGTGAAATTGTGTCCCCGTGCCACATGTTGCCAAGAGGTCAGCAAGTTCAAAGAATAAGAAAAGGCTGCCGAGGATGTCCTTGGTGACAGTTTCAGTAGAATAGCAGGGTTAGAAAACTGATTATATGGAGTAAAGGTAATTGAAGGAAATGGTAAAAGAGTCTAGTGAGTACTTTTTTTGAAAACTTAGGGAGTAAAAGAAGGCAGAGAGAAAAGACAAGTGTCAGAGATGGCAGCAGGACTCAGTCAAGAGAGTTTTTAGGAGGGAAAGTCATGAGCATATTTGTAAACAGAGGAAGAAACAGGTGAAGAGAGTGCACAGCACCTGGAAGGAGCAGGGTCCTGTGGAGGCTGGAGCATGGGGGATGGGAGCACCCCCCATTCTGAGATAGGAGGACCCCGGGGAAGGACAGGGGAGATTGAAGGAATTCTAAATTGGCAAAGAAAGGTGTGATCTGCATCAGCATGATCCACATGCTGATGCAGAGAGAGGGTGGTGTGGAGCTCACCCACGTCAAGTGGATTTGATCTTTTTTGATAAATATGAGGTCAGGATATGTGGTGAGTCAGGGGAAGGGATGTGGGCAGAGCCGGAGGTTTGTTCTGTGTGGAGAAGGTCGAGAAGAATTGCTCTAGCGGATGGACCATGGGCTGGTAAGACATGAATGAAAAGATCACCAACGGAGTAGCGTGGATGGCATCAGGCTGAATGAATGTGAGAATGGCGGGCCCCACTATTACAGTTTCCTGCCTTTCTCCAGCAGCCTAATTCTTGCAACTCTATTTCTAGACAAGGGCTAGAAAGATGTCTTTCTGGAAGCTACTATTCAGTAATGAAAGAGACTTTCTGTGCTGCAGTGCACAGGCCACGTGTGCACACGTGTGTATGGTCTTGCACACAAATCCACACACACGTCATCTTCTGCTTCCTGAAAAAGGCTTTGAACACCTGAAGTGTCTTTGGAGGCCCTTCCCTCTTTCCAGATGTGATGGAGAAGTGAACATTTCTCATCTGCTGTTGGCCAGAAAGGCTTGGGTGGTGGGTGATTCAAGTGTGGTAACTGCTCAGCGATTCAAAGGTCCCTCCCTTCTTTGACTCTCTTAACAGGGATGGCTTAATTAGTAAAGACGAAATGATGGCTTACTTCTTGAGAGCTAAATCCCAACTGCACTGCAAAATGGGACCAGGATTTGTCCATAATTTTCAGGAGATGACCTATCTCAAACCAACCTTCTGTGAACACTGTGCAGGATTTGTAAGTCTGTCTTCCACTGTTTTCTCTTGTATGTATTATTTGTGCAGCATTCTGAGAAGGTAAGAAAATAATACACTAAATAGAGTCCATTGTCTGCTTTGGATCAGGAGTAAAACATGATGGACCCCTGAAATTAAAGATTAAATAAAAACAAAAGCAAGACTTGTGATTTTAGCTATGTTCTAGGAATGCAGGGCTGGCAAAGACAGGGAAGGTTGGTGAGGCTGTTAACTCAAGAGAGCAGGTTGTTACTAATCCCTATTAATCCCTGCCAGGAAAAGTGTCAGCCCAACAAGCCCTGGCATTCATCACCAATATTCTTAAGTGGCTGCAGTTAAGGGGAGCATTTATCTTAGCCAGTACAATCCCTATTAATCCCTGCCAGGAAAAGTGTCAGCCCAACAAGCCCTGGCATTCATCACCAAAATTCTTAAGTGGCTGCAGTTAAGGGGAGCATTTATCTTAGCCAGTATCTTCCAGTGATCATTTCATATGGTATGAGTCACTAGAAATTCATCATGGCATGGCTCAATAATTCACAACTCAAAAAGGAAAAAAAAATCCTTTTGGCTAGAAGATGGTTATAATAATGAATAAAATTAACTTAACACTTGACAGTAACAAAGTACTTCCAAAGACATTAATGTAATTAACCCTCATAACAAGCCCTTGAGGTGGGCATTTTTCTTTCCTCTTTTTGCCTTTGGAGATAGAGGTTCAGAGAGGATATAATCCAAGTTCCCCAGGATTGCACAGCTACTAATGACCAGAGCGTGGACTCAAACACAGTGTTTTGACTCTGAGTCCTGTGCTTTACCTGCACCACTACAACAAAAGAAGATTGCGCACTTCCTTTCCCCACATCTGATCATTCTTTGGGAGCTGAGGTCAGCTTTTGGCTCTGGCCTTAACACAGACACTTGGGCCTTAAGTGTCTTGCAGTTGACCAAGTTAAATAAAATGGAAAATGTGGTATTCCAGGTGAGGGTGGCCCAGGACACGGGTGAGTATACGACTGCTCCTTTTTCTAGATGCCAGCACTTAGTTATGTCAGCTTTATTCGGCAGCCATGTCCCACTGTTGACCCATAGTGAATTCATAGCTGATATTATATGCTGCCACTAAATTACATTTTTCCTATCCCATGCTCAAAGAACCGGTTTTGGGGAGCCCAAGGGCAGGAGTTTGTGTTCAGGCACACACCCCTCTGAGAATAAGAGGCAGCAGTGACCTCAAAGATGCCCCAGGTGGTCACAGCAGCTGATGTGGTCAAGGGGCAAGGCCAGCCTAACCAGCTCTCTTTACCCGCCCCAGGGAAGGAGGTTTCTCTGTCAGTATCTCCACTGTGATTGCATCACCAGACCTCTTTATTATGAAACAAATGCATTTCCTTTTTCATGTTTCTCTAGTCTCTCTATTCTGATCAGAATTCTTGGAAGTATCAAGACCTGAAAAATGCTGATGTGGGAAGGGGCATGTGTAGCACCCTCCTGCAGAGTGGGACCCAGTGAACAAAAGGTCAGGCTGTTAGAGAGTGGCATGGCTCCGTCAGAAATCAGGATGATACATCTGTCCTTTAGTGGGATGTGAGAGTCGGATGGCCCCTATCAGATCTCAGGGTCTTATCTCTGCTGTCCAGTCCTTCTGTCCTGTCTCTCCCTTCTATGGAGGTACTGGTCCTGTAGAAGCAGCAAGGTGGTCTTTCTCAGGAGCTCCATACTCTACTCCCTGACTGATTCCTGAGTCTCTAATTTCCTATCTGAAAAGGGAGACATGACATTGTGGTAATAAAATAGTATCAACCTGTTGTATGTCACATAGCCCAGAGTAAATATTTCTTTTTTTAGTGTTCCTTGATACTTTTAGTATTACACATATAAAGAAAATCCATTGGTTTTCAAAGGAATTTATAAGTATAACCCTATAGAAGTGTCATTGAAAGGGATGTGGGGGAATACAAGGAATCATTTTCCAGTGCCTGGACCATCTGCTTTTGAAATAAATTCCATTTTAAGGGTAAGGAAGACAGGGGCTGGCCCCATGGCTCACTCAGGACAGTGCGGTGCTGCTAGCGCCGAGGCCACGGGATCGGATCCTATATAGGGATGGCCGGTGAGCTCACTAGCTGAGCGTGGTGCAGACAACACTGAGCCGAGGGTTGTGATCCCCTTAAAAAAAAAAAAAAAAAAAAAAAAAAGGGTAAGGAAGACAGACACTACTTGCCCTGCAACCCATTTATTTGGGAATTAGAATTTCAGAACTGAAAGAGTGCTGGTAATTCCCTTATTTTATAAATAAAGAAACTAAGGTCTGGAGAAGTTAAGTGACTTCTGCAAGGTCACATGGATCATGAGCAGCAGGACCATGAATCATATCCAGGTCTCCTGACTCTCAGTCCAATGCTCCTTATACCACAAACAATTACTCCAAATAATACAGCAGACCATGGTCTCAAATCAAAGGGCTGTGGGAAATGTTTCTGCATACCCATCTGCATGACAGCACCCTCTACTGTCCTTGGCTGGCACACCAACCCAGTTCCTCCTCCTGGTTAGTGTTTTCTCCTGGTTATTAAGTAAGCACCAGCAAACCGTGTCCTGATTTCTCCATCTGATACTCTTGCCTTACTATATTTTTTTTCAGCAGTTCCTGCAGCTTTGCTGTAATGTACCGTATTCAAATATTAGGATCCCTCTTCCTAAATCCTATACTTTTTGTCCTACCTCAGTGGCTTTTGTTCACACACAAAAATACCTAGGAGCAATGGCTTCCTGTCTTTCCCTCAAGTGTCACATTCTCCTTTTCCCTACTTAACCAGCTATGAGGCCTTGCCAAGTGACTTTGCCTCTCTGCAGGGCAGTCTCCTCATTTGTGAAAATGCAAAAACATTATTACCCATAAAGATAGCATGAGCATTAAATGAGTTAATGCATGCTAAGCTTAACACTGTGCCTCTCACACAGCCAGAGGTTAATAAATGTTAGCTATCATCATTATTATTGTGATTATTATTACCAAGTGTTTTGGGGAAAGAATTTCTTGTCACTACAAGGTTTTCCAGGTTGTCGGACTTTGCAAATTATTTAATTTCCTGGATCATCACATTCACCTTTTCCAAAAGAGAAGCAAACTAGATTATCTTAAAGATCCTTACAGCTCTTGAAGAGATGTCATTGTCCTGACCACCTACTTCCCTTTCTGTATTGACACCCTATCCTTCTTGCAGTCAACCTATGCACCTGAGCCTTGCTTCCAGTTAGTTGTCAAATAATCCTCCCTGTCCCCAGGGCAAAATGTCCTTGTCTCAGGAGCCATTTGCATCTTCATGATGTATTCTGAAGAACCAGAAAACTTTCAAGGCTCAATTTCCACTGGTGGAACTTCCTTGTCAGGAAGAGGGTAAGGAGCAGTCTTCCTGATGCCTGTGAGTCACTTCACATTGGCGGCTACCGACTCTTCCTATAGGGCCATGATGCCCGTACTCAAGGGCACTGTTTGCCTGTAATACCTTGTCAGTGGCACCTCCATCAGCCCCACGAGGCCACTGGCCCTGCTTCTTTCAACATCATTTTATTAAGTAGACAGCAGCCACCAAACCTAACTACTAAAAGGTGAGGAATGCAGCATCTCCAACTTGAGCTAAGCCCATTTAATTACCAGTACTGCACGTGTCTGGTGTCCGTGTGACCCATGTGCAAGTGCTGTGGGTATGTACAAGAAAGCACGTGACAAGGCTCCCTTCTCCTCAGAGTTCAGAAGGAGTCTGGCAGTAGGGCAAAGTCACCAGCACCGGGGCGATGCCCCTGTCCTGTCTGTGCAAACGTGCCCTCACTGAACAGAGGGCTCTCCCATCTCTAATGAGAAATTTGTCACTTCCCACTTGTTAACCACCCCTTCTCCTCAGAGTTCAGAAGGAGTCTGGCAGTAGGGCAAAGTCACCAGCACCGGGGCGACGCCCCTGTCCTGTCTGTGCAAACGTGCCCTCACTGAACAGAGGGCTCTCCCATCTCTAATGAGAAATTTGTCACTTCCCACTTGTTAACCACGAGGACTCACTGACTTTTTGCTTGGCAGACTCTGAGCCTGTTTGACATCTCCCACAGCCCTGGCACAGGCCAAATACAGAACCAACAGGGAGAATGAATACACGAATAAATAAGATTGTCTCCTCTTCTGTATTCTTTCAAGGTACAACTACCACTCAGGGCTGGCCAGTTAGCTTAGTTGGTTAGAACACCGTGTTGATAACACCAAGGTCAAGGGTTCGGAACCCCATACGGAAAAAAGAAAAAACAACAACAACAACAAAAACTACTCAGAAAATAACCTAGCAAAATCCAAGTGCTTTAGTGTGAAGTGCGCTTCTCAGATTGCTTTATGTCCTGTAGTGGGTGCCGAGAGCTGCTGGTGTCATTAAAAGGAAGGCAGAGGGAGCCAGGGGCTTCCAGAGACCAAGTGGTTACCTCCCCTGTAAATTTTGCTGAGAATGCATCATGCCGAAGTCCAACAAATGCACCAACTTTAGTTTCCCATCGTGGCTCCCATTTGGCTTAGAGAAAGAAAAAGGAAGCAAAACTCATGTTATCACCACAGCTGGGAGAGGGCTCTTCTATCTGGCAGGGAGGGTGTTAAGGGCAGCGACATCCTGTTTATGCTCGGCCAGTCCGACCTCCCCAGGACTTCCTTCTCTGTGGCCTTGTTTTCTTTCCAGATTTCTCTTTAGATTCCCTTGACATTCCTTTGTCTTTTGTTACAGCTCTGGGGCATAATCAAGCAAGGATACAAATGCAAAGGTAAATACATGTTATTTAGTTAAAATTTTAGAAATTTGACATTTTGGGTAGGAATCAAAATCTGTCTAGTTAAACCACAAGAGCTTTTGGCATCGTTGAAAACTTGGATCTTTTGGGCCAATGGCAACTTAAGAGTTAACGTGTCCAGGAAGGAGTCCCTGGAGTCTTGGAGAGTCAACATCTGAATTTCGTAGCTTGTTGCAGGACAGCAAACCACCCTTATCTACACGCATACATCTAGCCCTGTCTTTAAGATCTCTTGCAAATCTTCAGTATTCAGTTAAGGTGGAAGTTCTGAAATGGGATAAGCCTAACTAAAATACTGCATGCAAGAACTTCTTCCTTCAAGGGAAAAAAACCCACACACTCATTTCTGTAAAACATAGGCATTTCTTCCCACACTCTCATAGTTTCACTACAAAATCACGCACATGGTGAGGAAAAAAGAGAAGAAACCTTTAAATTTTTTTTTTGTCTTTTTCAATACATTCATTCCTATATCTACTCCATTTAATTAGAATTTATAAAAAGTTAAATAAATATATATTTGACAAATGCAATATGTATGCATATGAAGCATTTATAGGAATGTGCTGCTACTTGTATATATGTGATTATTACCCATTATTTAAGAAGTTGCTGGATACTTTATGCAGATAATTTATTCTGATTCTTTTAGAAATCTGATAATGCTCTTGAAAAATATAATGAAACTGTTAGAGGAAACATCTTAATCACAGAATGGCTTCCGAAAAATGCTGTTCCCTTGTGATACCTTTTTTATCCAGCCTTCTTTCAGTATTTGGTCCTCATTTTGCATGAAAAGAAAGCTTCCTTGAAGCCCTCTGGGAGGCACTATTTAGTGTTCAAAAGGACCTTCCTTGTAGAGTTTCTCTATCACTTGTCTTGGTCTAACTTGGATTTTTACTTCCAAGTAGCAAAGATAGCAGTGAGTCAAGAGTATTATTCTGGTTTCTATCCCCATCCTCTATCACACACACACACACACGATTTTACGAAGATGAAAGTCAACTAAATCCTTGTAACATCTTTGTTTTCTCTTAATGGCACATACAGTCAAAAAACTAATTAAAGTTGACTGACCATGTCGTTAAGACTATTTGAAACAAAACCATTTGGGGGAAAATGGGTATTGAAAATAGTTAGCAAGGTCCTCTTTGATGGTAAAAGAGGAATATACTCTTTAAAATGATCATATCTGTTCAGTAATTCTAAGCGAAGTGTAGGATCCTCATCATATGAAATAATTGTATTGCTATTTTGCAAAGTGGCCATGTTTCTTCCCTAAGTAGTAATCAATATTGAACTTCCTTAATTAAAGCATTCTAATGGGAAATTTCTCAGAATCTGCTACACATCATTTCAAAGCCATAGTCAAATGTGGGGCATACTTATCAAGCACCTTGTTTTCTATTTTTTTTCACAAATAAAGGAAGCAGAAGATATAATCACTTGTCCTGGAAAAGGTTTTGGGATATGGAAAAAAATGGAACATCCAGACAAATAGTGAGTGGAGGAACACCTTCCAGGAAATGGTCAGAGGCAGCAGTTGGTGCTGGGAGAGACTAGAAGCTGAGGCTTCTCTCCCTCATTCTGGCTCAGGAGCCTCTTTGTGGGGATTTCATAATGGCCTGGGAAAGAACCCCAACCCCACATGATTTGCATTTAGTTCTGGGCAAAGGCGACTAACCTCCCAGGCTAGTCTCTGCTTGTTTGCTCCCCAAGCCCTTCAATGAATTGTGTAGGGGAACAAGTTGAGCAGATGCAAGAGAACTTTAGGAACCTCAGGAAGGCAAGAGAGGCCCAGTGGCCCTTCCTAGCCACTAGACACACTCTTTGCACCTGAGCTGGACTCTGAGATTCAACAAAGAAACTGGGGTGGGAAGGGGAGGGCTAACAGCTGAGTGCCACCCTGGAAGCTCAGTCAACACCAGACGCATGCTTCACCCAATCATCTCTGACCCATTTGGAATTTTTCAGACTGTGGAGCTAATTGTCACAAACAGTGCAAAGACCTCCTGGTTCTGGCCTGCAGGAGATTTGCCCGGGCACCCTCGTTGGGCAGTAGTCATGGGTCGCTGCCTGGAAGCCCCTCGCTGCCCCCAGGTAATGCCCTCTGCTTTTTTTGCTGCTGTGATGACTCTGCTTACCTCCCTACACCTGGACCTTATTTGGGTTCTGGGTCTAAATGCGGTCAGAGTCATTATAAACACCAAGGCCTTCTTTAGGATGAGCAGTGGTGGCTAAACCCTTGAATCTCCCTTGCTTCTCTGTGCTTTCCAGTTTCATTAACATGCAACTAACAGGAAGCTGATTTAGTTCTATTCCTAGTCTGTTCCTCTGAGACATTGCATGTCAGACTCCTGCTGTTTGCACTAACTTTGATGGTCTGCTATCAAGCAGCTGTCAAATAACCACCATTCTCTTTCCCCTTCCAGTGCAGGATGAAGTGTTTGAGTTTCCCAGGGTCACTGCTGGACACCGAGACCTGGACAGCAGAGCTATCACACTGGTTACAGGCTCTTCTCGCAAGATCTCCGTAAGACTACAGCGGGCTACCACCAGCCAAGCCACCCAGACTGAACCTGTCTGGTCAGAGGCTGGCTGGGGGGACTCAGGGTCCCACACCTTCCCCAAAATGAAATCCAAGTTCCATGGCAAAGCAGCAAAGGACAAGGGCTTTGCCAAGTGGGAAAATGAGAAACCCAGGGTGCAGGCTGGCGTGGATGTCATAGACCGGGGCACTGAGTTCGAACCTAACCAGGATGAAGGAGAGGAGACCAGACAGGACAGTGAGGTTAGTGCTTGGTCAAACCACAAATCATACTGGAAGATGGAGGCTGAAGGTGCTGAGATGAGCATTATAGCGGGTCTGGGGGCAGCCTAGCAGTTTTGAAAGCAAGATGGTTGGGAATCAAGACATATCTCTTTTAGTCTTGCTATTGGCTAGTTATGTGGACCTGGGCAGATTTCTTCTCTTTGACCTTGGTTTCATCATGTATAAAATTGAACTGGGTTGAGTTCTAAAATATAATGAAGGTTGTCATCTCTCTGCACTGAAATGATGCCCAGGCATCCACGACTATTGCATGTATCCAATATACCAGTGCACTCTGCAGACCAGCCTAGTTTTCTATGCTAGAATCAGAGCCAACTCAGGGGAGGTGGTGGAGGCAAAAGACTGATAGATGGAGAAGGAGAATTGGAAACTCTTGCCCCTACTAAAAAAGAGGCTTTTGAGTGGAGAAATCAAAAGATATGAGAATCAAAGATATGGGGACCTCAAAGTTCTATAAACCAGGCTGTGCCTCCACACAAAAACTGCACTCAAATCATCCAAAGCAAATTAAAATGCATATGGAATTGGTTAGAACATGCTGGAAATATAAATTGATTCAAGATGGAGTTAGATAAATTTATTAGTCAAGAGTCCATAGCATGTTAAGGAAAAGGATTTGGGCAAATTGCTGTCATATTCCTAACCTTTAAAGCAATGTTATGGAGGGCAGCCACATCCTCCTGGTCAAATCATTCTCGTAACCAGAATATTGGGTTAGGCAGAGATCCTCCTGGATCAAGCCAGTGCTCTTTATTCTTATGGGTGGTCCTCCACATTCCACTCTTCAGAAGATCTAAACACACAGTCTCCTTAGTTTCCCATGATGAGAAAAGCGCCAATGACCTTTAACCAAAATCCTTTAAGTTCCTTCTTCATTGAAGACAATTAATTAGGAGGCCACATGTTATCTCCAGTCATGTGAAGTTTACTGTAAGTTCCTGCCATTTTTTTCCCTTATTATATCACCAACTTTTGAAAACAGCTTTGTTGAGATATAATTCATGTTCCATGAAATTCGACAATTAATTAGGAGGCCACATGTTATCTCCAGTCATGTGAAGTTTACTGTAAGTTCCTGCTGAGCCATTTTTTTCCCTTATTATATCACCAACTTTTGAAAACAGCTTTGTTGAGATATAATTCATGTTCCATGAAATTCACCCGTTTAAACTCAAAGGGTTTTACAAGTCAAAGGTTTTTAGTATATTCACACAGCTGTGCAACCATCACTACAATCAAATTTTAGAACATTTTCATCATTCCAAAAAGATACCCTGTGCCCATTAGCAGTCACTCTCCCTCACCTCTCCCCAGCCCTGGGCAACCAACTAATTTACTTTGTCTCTATACGTTTGCAACACCAACTTTTTTTTTTTTTTTTTTAACATTTCACCTACTGATGTCTTGGCAAATGTATCAGTCCTGTCCTTTCATTCTTCTACAGGCCTAGCATAGTTCAAGCTAGGAATATTAAGGTGAATAAGAAAAAGTTCATGATTTGGTGCCAGAGGAAGGTATCCTAGGGCAAGGGCTCTTAACTCGAGGTCTAAAAAATGGCTCCAGGAAGGTTCATGAAAGTGCTTTATATTTTATATAAAATTATATGTGGACATATGCTCATTTCTGGGGAGAGGAGCATTAAACAGATGCTCATGGGGTTCTGTGATCCAAAAAAAGCAAAGAATCATTGTGCAAGAAGATTTGCTAGTCACCCTATGTACCAACTCAGCCTGAAGAGGCTGTTTCTACAAACACTGTGGCTGCCACCGAAATCTCAGAAAAAGAGCTTCTATGGGTAGAATCATAGGACGCCTACCTAGAGCACTCAGGGTGGTGCCCACCTCATGACATCTCTGAATTCATAGGAGTACCCGCTTTTGTTTAACAAATAGTGAAACTGGCCATGAGCTCATTTCTATTGGCCTATTACAGTTCAGGTTACTTACAGCATGCTCCTTAGTTAGGAGAAATTCACAGCCTGTTAGGTATAGGACAGTCACTTACACAGGTAAGATTTCCTGATCATTAATCTCTATAAGAAACTAGAAACAAAGATCTGGTTTTTTAAATTTAATTTTGTTCTTTGGAAATTGATCCTTTATATTCAAACATTCTCTTACTCTTTTAATTTTCTCATCTCATAAATCATAGAGATGATTCAGTGATCACTAGTATTTAATTTCATTTGTGCTAATTAATGAAGAAAGTATCCTCTTGTATAAAATGCATATACTTGTAAATGGTGTACAGTGTCACTCTTATCCAAATCAGTAACAAATAAGAAGACATTTTCCCTTGTTTGTGGAAAAAGCAAGCAAGAAAAAATGTGACAAAATTACACCAAAGACTTGAATATGTAGACAAGGGAGTTTTCAATGTAAAGAATTGTTTTCCGCCAGCCAAGACCAATAAATAACATTAGGAGAAATGATCTACTCATTTATTATTCAGTATCAGATGATGTTTATGAGTCCTATAATGAAAAATGGTAAGAGACAGAGAAGGTAGTTGTGTTTGTAATCTGTGTATTTCCTGTAACAAAGTTCCAGATTTGCACTCATTTAAAATATAAGGGTGTGAACGTTTTCTGGGGCAGTGGACATCATCTCACCAGTGACTACTGAGCCCTTGGATGGCAGGTCAGGTCAAGATTACTCTCCTGGCAGTTAGAATATGTGTATTTCCTTTACAGTTTTTCTTTTGTTTTCCATTATCTTCTGGTAAATGAAATCTAATCAACAAATATTGATCATAGAAAGGTTGGGAAATGCTAGACTGAACAAAATTGAATATGTTTATGAATGTAATATACACATACATTCATATATACATATATGTGTACATATACATCTATGTAAATTTTTTTCTTACACATTTCATCAGTGCCTCTATATACAAATTTACATTGTGAATTTCTAAGAGGGAAACGTTTTAACAAGGAGCATTTTGAGGGACTGATGTTCTGTGGAGCACCCTTTAGGGAACATTATTGAGTGAGCATCCTTGTTGGCCTCTGTATGGGAGTCTTTAAGATTTCATGTGCTGGGAGGACTACATGATCTTTTTATTCCCTCTAAATGCTGAGACTACAAGGCATTGATCATTTGAGATGTACCCTCAAATCCTGAGAAATCCTGAAAAACTTCTTTCTAGGAACATTCTTATTTTGCTAAATGAGACCCAGCCATGCAACAGGTTCTGATTTGTTTTGCAGGATGGCTGACTTTGGGCTGAGGAAACTGAAAGCAATAATGTTGGCTTTTGGAAAGAGCAAGATGAGAAACTCTGAAGAACACTCCAACTATCAGGAAGTCATCTGGAAAGATATCTGGACATTTACTGCCTCGTGACATCGTGGGGTCTCCGTGATTAGACTATGGCACAGAGGAATTACTCTGTGAACTATTTATTTCCTTCTCCCCTGGCCCTAGTTAGGAGCCACAAAGACTGTGTTACGTGGTCAGTAGTTTTCTCATGTGTCTTTCTCTAGAACCATTTATATACGGGTGAAATGAAAACTTTTGTGCATGTACTTGATACTCATTCTCTAAACTCAGACTTTGCTTTTTTTTCCCCTGAGAATATTATTTTAATATTTTTATAGACCTTGGTGTGTGGGGAAGGGAAATTTAACAAGGAGTGGATTTAGAGGTCTTTTTGTGTACTTTTTGGATGGGACCAGGACTAAACATTTTCCTGAAGGACAAGGAAGCTCTTCAGATCCTGGAATGCAGTGTGGTTCTTCTAATGATGACAAGTTGCAAGGAGAAGCTGTTCACATTGTTCCCACCATGCAGTTGCTATGATGTGTAACAAGTCACACGTGTATGTATATCACATAAGTCTCATCAGTTCTGCAGCATTAGGAAGCTATGACACAGCCGTGAAAGCTCTCCTGATATTTACAACAGCCACAGGGGAAAATTAACTATACTTGTCCCATCTGACTGGGTTCAGCTATCTTACGATTTCCTGAAACAGGAATAGCAATTAAGAAATCAGTTCAAGTTTTTGAGGACAAAATTTAGCAGAAAAACAAACCATCAAACAAACTGCTAGGTGAAATGCAAAACAACTACCAATTTTTAAAAATCCAAAGTAATTTTAGGAATTTCGTTTGTTTAAAAAAATTTTTTTTCATTGTGAAAGAGAACTCATGTTCTTCCTAAAGAATTTCATCTATAATTTAAGGTTATGCATAAAAAGAATATCATCACAAATCATCTTTGATTAAAATTTTATCAAAACAACTACCAATTTTTAAAAATCCAAAGTAATTTTAGGAATTTCGTTTGTTTAAAAAATTTTTTTTTCATTGTGAAAGAGAACTCATGTTCTTCCTAAGGAATTTCATCTATAATTTAAGGTTATGCATAAAAAGAATATCATCACAAATCATCTTTGATTAAAATTTTACTAAAACTTTTAAAATATCAGTATTTAAAATATCATTCTTTGACCTAAAATAACTAGCTGTAGGTCTATTTATTACATGATTAGAGAAGAGAGAACTCGATTCAAGATGTTCAGAAATAGACATGGGATTGAGCCTGTACATAGGGGAATGATTTGCTACCAAGTGACCAGTCAGAAACTGTATTTCACAGAGGTGCACTGATCTGCATGTGGGGGCAGACTTTAGTACATATGGTCTATGTAAAACAGAATTTGTTTCTATTTGGTGCAATCACTTCAGTAAAGTTTGTCTTCTCTCTTTTTCCTCTGTTGAGGACAATTGAGGACAGTTCTGCTCAGCAAACGTGTTGAGCACTTGCTCTGGGCAGGGCCCATGGTAGATGCACAAAGACAAGCAAGACTTGGTTTTGGCCCTTGGGAGCTGAGAGCTTGTGGGCATTAAGGCAAAGTGGTTCCAGTGATTTAAACTATGGTTCCAAATTTGCTAGAACTGACGTATTGTGCCAAATAGATTCAGAGACTGGAAATACTGTAAATTAAATGAAGTTATTAGTGGAGGGAGCTGTGATTAACGTAGATGATAAGAGAGCTCACTCACTCACCATTTGTGAGCACCTCAAAGGGCAAACAGTCGTGCCTAGGTGTTGGTTCCATGTATATACACTATCTACTCCTATTCATAAATGCAATGAAATACATGTTAACTAATTAAGAACAAAAAACGGCAATTTAAGTACTTTAAAAAGTTTTTAAAAAAAATTTGAAGAAAATTCAGGCTGAAACTTGTTAATAAATGTTGGACTGTACTTTTTCTTCTCAAGGTAATTATTTCACTTGCCTCTTAGTTTGGTTATTTTTGAGTTTTTATATACAGCATATTAGTCCATTTCTGTTGTTTATAACAGAATACCTGAAACTGGGTAATTTGTAAAGAAACACTATCAGTACTTACAGTTTTGGAGGCTGGCAAGTCCAATGTCTAGGGAACGCACCTGGTTAGGGCTTTGTTCTTGTGGATGACTCTATTCTGCAACTCAGGGTGTCACATGGTGAGAGAGGCAGAAGCAAGAGAGAGCTAACTTCTCACTGGCTCTCCTTTTAAAGCCCTCAGAACCACACCCATAACCACCATTAAACCATCAATGGATTTATCCGTTCACTAGGGCATGGTCCTCACAATCTAATCACCTCTTCAAGGCCCCACCTTTAAATTACCATAATAGGATTCCCTGCCCTTTTAACACTGTCACAGTAGGGACCAAGGCTCCATAAGTTTGGGGGTACATTCAATTCACAGCATATAGGAAGAGTTTTGTCAGCCTTTCTGTGACAAAGATACTAAATGTAGTCTGAGTAAAAACTAAACACAAACAAAAAACAAAACAAATATAAATGTATATATGTATATAAATTACGTGTGTGTGTACATTGTGTGTACTCATACACACACACACACAAACACAACTATTATTACTTTGCTGAAGAGGAATTTGAGTCCATAACAAAACTGCTTTATAATTTTGATTGTATCGTTTATTCATGACCCATGGTGGGTGACTGATATTTCCAATCTATCAATTTCTCACAATCAGTAAAATAAACAAAATAAGCAAACCCATGATGGAGCAAGAATTATTATAGTTGGTTCCTCCAGATCTTTGTTTTATAAGTTTGATGATTACTATCACCTTTAAAAGAAAAAGCAAAAATGAAGCCAAACTCTTAACAGTGAATTTTATTAGGTCCTAGGGCAGGATTTGTCACACCAAGCCAAGGGTTGAGATCCCCTTACCGGTCATCTTTTAAAAAAAAAAAAAAAAAAGGCCAGATTAAGAAACCAAATGGGTAAAATGTAAATGAGTTTAGAGAAAAATCCATATATTGGGTACAGGTATATAGGCCAAAGCATAATTATGCTTAAAAGGCTAGCTCTTGAAAGAATTTAGGTTACTATAGGGAGACAAGAGGAAAACAAAAATTAACTTTTAAAATAAAAAGTGCACCATTTATTTGATAACTGGGATGTATTTTACAACTACTGCAGGTGGGTAAGTACAGAAAACAATTTAGCATTTAAGGTTTATCAGGAAATAGCTTCCTCCTGGCTGTATCTAAAATCTGCTGGCTAAAGTCTAGAGAGCACTCAGTCCTCAAACAAAAACAATTACTCTACCTTATCTTTTAAAATGGTATTAACAATCATGTTGGAATTCACATCCATTCAGAATTTAAGTGACATGCAGATTATCCATAGAAGCATAAGGAAAGAATCATTTAGAACATTCTGTAAGGCAACCGGTTTGAATACTTCAAAAATAAAGGGTCATGAAAAATAGAGGAGAGATAAAAATAATAAAGGAGAGAAGGGGAAGTTCTGGATAAAAAGAGATTTGGAGAAACACAACCAAATGTAATGTTAAGAGCCTTGATTGTATTCTGGGCCAAAATTTAAATAAAGCAGGCATTTGGGGGCAACTAGGGAAATTTAAATATGGACTATATATTAAATGATGTACTAAATGAATATTAATTCACTTCAGTGTGGTAACAATTTTACAGTTGTATAGGAGAATGCCTTTATTTGTGGGAGATGCCTGCTGAAGTAGTTAGGAATGAAGTATCAGTATATACAACTTACTTTCAAATGGTCTAGTTAAAAAAAAAAAAGGCTTATTTTTTTGTAGAGAGATAAAACAAATATGGTAAAATATTAAAATTGTGACTCTAGGTAAAGGGTACATGGATTTCATTGTACTGATTTTTAAACTTTTCTGAAGGTTTATAGTTAAAAAAAAAGGTTGGGGGGAAAATCATTATTCTTTCTTTTACTGGAAATCGTTAAAAGAGCAACAGTGAGAATAAAAAAAAAAAATTCATGTGCAGAGAAACCAGGAGAGATCTGAAATCCTAGGCCCAATAGAGAAAAGATGGCCAAGAGCATCAGAGATTGATCAGAGGGACCTGCAGGAGGATGTGGAAGGAAGTCGCTGTGCTAGACATGGATTCAATGGCTGTGATACTTAAAACAACAACAACATCTAAAAAACCAGACAGCAACAAATATCTCTTTAAGAGAGAAGGCGTACACTCTGAAGTGAAAATCCTTGGTCCTTTGTTTACAAACAGAAGGAACAGAGAAAAGACCAGCCTGTGTCAGGAGCTGCCTGGGTCTGGTTTGGTTCTGAGAAGCATAAGCACCAGGGCACACAGACAAGCAGTATTTGTAAGAAGCAATCTGTCTGTATGACAGCAGGTCACTAGAGAGTCTTTATGATGAAAAAGAAAATCCCACAGTTGCTGGTCCCCATCAAGATGTAAAACTTAGGATCTCAAGAAAAGTTTCACTTGGCCTAGAAACTAACCTGGCTCCTTCGCTACATGAACTTCCCACAAATTTTGGATAACACCTCAAAATTAAAAACAGAGTTAAAAACCCAGGGCATGCTGGGGGTGGTGGGGTGGGTGAGTGGGTGGGGGGGCGGGGAGGAAAGAACAGTTAAACAAATGTCAGAAGACTTCTCACCAGAAAACAAACAATCAAAACTGCTACAGAACATATGAAAATTGTTTCTCCAAGAATTAAAGCTACTTAATAAATTCTTGATCCACAGAAACCATGATAATAACAAGTACTTATTTTTATGTTAAGCTACTAAGTTTTAGAGTATTTTGCTACACAATAGACAACGAATACAATATCCTATAGGGCAATTAATCCATATCATTTGTGGTTATCTTCACTACTGGGCAGAAATAATTTGCATCTCTACTAGATAAAAATCATTTTCATCTTATCAATTTTCTTCACCTAATCCATAGTAGATAGTATATCAAACAAAATTATATTTGCCTAGGGGAGGATTTCTCAACCTCTCTGCTACTGACATTCTTTGTTGATAATTCTTTATTGGGAAGGGATAGGGCTGTCCTGTGTATTGTAGGATATTTAACAGTATTCTTGGCCTCTGCCCACTAGATACCATTAGCACTTCTTTCCCCCCTCAAATTGTGATAACCAATAGTGTCTCCAGACTTTCCAAATGTCCTCTAGGTGGCACAATTGCCCCTGGCTGAGAACCACTGTCCATATATCAGAGTCAGCTTGAGGTTTGTTCAAAAACAGATTGCTGGGCTCCATCCACAGAGTTTCTGGTTATGTTGATCTGGGGTGTAACCTGATAACTTGCATTTCTAAGCTCCCAGATGATGCTGTGCTGATGCTAGTTGGGCACCAAACTTGAGAATCACTGCTCTGTAAAGTCAGATGACTCAGGCAGGCTTGTTAGACACAGCTCCAGAATGACAACCCCCAAACATGCAGCCATCTTTTGCCTTATTTCCAGGATTTGGATCCTTTTTGCTAGTAATTCTTTCCACGGAAATATAAGGTGAATGTAATTCGACACAGTTATGAAGACAGACATTAGAGAAAAACTCTAAATCTTTCTAAATATCAGAATAAATATAAAAGCCAAAATAAGGGACCCTACATGACTTATAAAAGTTATAAAAACTGAAAACAGAACCAAAAATAATATGACAGATAAATATAGATGGGCTAAACTTACCTATTAGAAAAAGGCTCTCAGACTGATAAAGAAAAACCCAATTCTATGCTTTGTACAAGAGACCCACCATAAAGTGATTCAGATGTTTGCAAAATTTGGCTAAACTTACCTATTAGAAAAAGGCTCTCAGACTGATAAAGAAAAACCCAATTCTATGCTGTGTACAAGAGACCCACCATAAAGTGATTCAGATGTTTGCAAAATTTAAAAAAAAATTAAAATACAAAATGGCAA